TACACATGTGACACATTTAATACCAGAAGATGCTCGAATAAGTGCGGAGAACTTTTATGAAGGTGATATTAATCGTTCATTATTTCAAAAAGAAACAATTTCACATGAACCACCACCACCACCACTTATACCTGAAAGTCCACTTGTATCAAGTGATGTCTTTTATGAAGGTGATCCACAACGTTCAATGTTTATTGAACGTCCATCATTATCACATACTGAATCAACAGCAGAATCATCATCATCAATTAATAATCTTCGAGATATTATGAGTGATTTAATGCTTGCTGCTTCATGGTCGAAAAAACCAACAATCATTGATGAACAAACACCAAAAGATACAGAAGAAATTCTTGCTGAATCATTTATAACAACTGAACAGAATTATCCAACATCATCATTATGTGAAATTCTACATGAAATTGAAAATTTTCCATTAACTTCAAATAAAAGATTATCACATCCAATAGTACAAATTGAAGAACGTGATACAATATCACCGTTTAGTACAGCATCACCAACTATTATACATCGAAATATATTAACTCGACAAGAAACTGATCGATGGGCACAAGATGAATTACTTACTAGTGAAGAACAAAATACGGATGATTGGACGAATTCATCAAATCAAAGAAAAGAAATTTATGGAGAACAATATCGACCGGAAAGAAAATTTAGTGATGAACTATCTGAAACAACTAAACAACAATTAATTACTGATGATATTGGATCAAAACAAATGGATGAAACTGTTCAACAACGTGATGAAGATGAACAATATCATATTGAACGTACATGGAGTACAGATAAGATATTTGAACCACCAGTAAATGCCTTAGATGAAGTTATTATTCAATCATCTTATGATAATAAACATGAGGAAGAAGATCAACATTCGAATCAATTTTATATTCAAGCACCTCAACAAGTCGAAACAGATCAATATCAACTTCAACAAAGATTAATTACTGATGAGAGTATTATGAAACCATCGGATAAAACTGAAGATGAACACAAACTCGAACGACAAGATAGTGCGGAAGAGATTAATTTACAGTCACAATACGAGAATGAACATGAAGAAGTTGAAGAACAGTATCAACCTGAACGAAAACTTAGTACAGATCAAGCCATTCTTGAAACTTCTCAAAGAATCGAATCAGATCAATCTGAACCATCTTCTCCATCACAAGAACAACTTCCAGTAGGATTAACGCATCAAATTCAAGAAGAAAAATCCGATGCTGAAGAAGAAAGCAAGTCTCCAAGAAAATTAAGTACTGAACAAATCGTTCCAGAACCTTCACAACTCAGTGGACATCAAGTCATGATTGAATCTTCTCCGATAATTGAACATAAAGACTATGATTATGAACAATATTCTGGTGACAAACAAACTGTGATTAAATCGGATGAAGACGTTGAAGAAGAACATAAACTAGAACAAAGCTTCACTTCTGAAAAGAGCGATGTCCGATCTCAGCAACTCTCTGAACATGAAGAGGATGATCAACCTCAACGAAAACTAAGTTCAACAAGAATTAGCAATGCATCTATTCCTGTTAGTGAACATGAAGAAGACAAAGAACAGTATCAATCAGAACCATCTTCTCCATTGCACGAACAACTTTCAACAGGATTAACACATCAAGTTCGAGAAGAAAATTCCGATACAGAAGAAGAAAGCAAATCTCCAAGAAAGTTAAGCACTGATCATGAAGAACAACACTATCCATTAGAACGAAAACTAAGTGTTGATGAAATTGTTACTGAATCTTCTCCAGTCATGGAACATAGAATCAGTTCCAGAACAGCTTCTATTGATGAAAAGCACCAAATTGAACGAACACCTAGTTCAGGAAAAATCAGCATTGCATCTCTACCAGCTAGTGAACGTGAAGAACAAGAACTAGAAGAACATGAAGATCATACAACTCAACGACCATCCAATATTGATCGTGAAGACGAAGAAGTACTAGATTACAATCAACAAAAGATCATTACTGAAACTCAACCGCATGTTGAAATACAAGAACGAAAACTCAGTACTGATCAAGTTGCAATTAAAACTTCTCCAACGACTGAACATCAAGCATTTCAAGATGAACACTTTTCAACTTACAAAGAAACTGTAATACCATCTGATGATGAAATTCACGAAGAACATCAACTAGAAAAGAGTTTCACATCTGAAAAAAGCGAAGTGCAATCTCCACGAATCAGAGAAAATGAAGATAGTCGACAAGCTTTCGAACGAATTATTAGCTCAGAAGAAGCTTTTGTTGAACAAAAACCTGACGAAGATAGAAAATTTAGCTCTGGAAAAATCAGCATTGCATCTCTTCCACTTACTGAACACGAAGAACATGAAACTCAACAGCATACACACGAAGATGAACACGAGCAAAGACCAGGCTCTCGAGCAATCTCAACCACATCTCATGAAGAAACTGAACCAGAAGATACACATAAACTAACACCAAAACCAAGCATCGGTCAACTCAGTACTCACTCAGCACAACTAAGCGAACATGAAGTTGAAGAAGAAATACGTTCTACACCAGAACGAAAACTTAGTACCGGTCGAGTCTCAACTGAATCTTCTCCAACAGTCGAATACAGAGATTACCAACATGGACACTTGCCAACTCACGAAGAAACTCTAGTCAGATCCCACGAAGAAATCGAAAAGGAAACACCTGAAAAAGAAGAAGAACATGTGTTTGAACAAAGTTTTGTTTCTGACAAAAGCAATGTTGAATCTTCTCAAGTGAGTGAACATGAAGACGAACAACATCAAATCATCAGCTCGAAACCCGCTTCGGTCGTACAAACACCTGAACAAGAACGAAGACTCAGCTCTAGTCAACGCAGTATTGCATCTCTTCC